TTCACTGGTTCTCCATGTGATTCTGCATGTGGGTCAAAAAACCTACAAACCAAAGTGACACCCTCCTCCAACTCATTTCAATTACCTCAGCTCAGGGTTTGGAGGAACTTGTCATTAATCATTCATTAATTGTCAGGTGGACGTATCGAGTACCCTCCAAACTCATTTGTGAGACACATTAATAAATGTTAGCAAAACGCTTTCTATCAGCTCCTCAATTTAGTCAGGAGCTTTCCAGGTTTTATTTCCTTCCTCTTACACCACTTTTCCTCGCAGCAGTCTGAAAATACACCTAAAACAAATCATCTGACACTCGCTTTTTATATTTGTGCTGGCAAGTGTTCTGAAGCTTATGTTAAGGGGGCCCGCAGGTCTGAAATAGTAATAGCCGATGTGCTGGCTGTGACGAACACCAACTCCAAGAGCAGATGAAATCTCCCACGGTTTCTTAAATCTGCCAGCACCAACTGTGATCCTATTTATATGGGCACAGACTTGCTTATTACAGGCACAGTAAAACACAAGTTGGATAATAGCTCCCTTAAGCAGAAATATTGCTCATTTCCAATTGTTTTTATTGCTTTATGCAATGTTTCTGCAGCAGACTGTTGGTCCACGGTTTTACAGTTACAGTGACAAAGAAGCAGTTTCAGCTCTTACAGCCTCATTACATCACAGATCTGTGGCCCCGTTATCTGCAACAGGAAACACCAACTGGACTCAGAATATCACATCAGATTTTCATTATCTACTTTAAAAGAAAAGCAATGCTGGCAGCAGTGTGTTCGAGACCATGTTTGATGCACACGTACTTTAATCATTATGGTAATTACCATGAGCTCTTGACTTAATTGACAGCTGTGTAAAGTTTATTATAATGGCAGATAAATGGAAAATTTGTAATTTTGTCACAGCTCTGCCTTTAAGCATTATCAGCGTCATGATTCTGTCAAAGTCAATAAGTCAACAAGTCTGCCACTTTGGGTCACCCAAAAAATCTCCAGAACTCTCTGCATAGATAGAAGGAAAGTAGGTCAATGATCATGATTCAAAGAGAAATTTCATTAGA